TTTTATAATATTGGATTTAATATATGTTATTTTGTTTGAGAAATTGTTAAATTGTTTATTCGAGAAATTGTGAAATTTTTTAGCACACATTTTATATAATGTTTTGTATAATAGTTATTAAATTGTGAATATAGTTATTTGAGAAATTGTGAAGGTTGATAATGTTTCACCTAATATTAATAGAGTGAGTTTGAGAAATTAATCGTTGTTTAAGTTTGTGTTTTGAAACTTTATGTTCCTAATATAGAGGGGTGAAGTTGAGAAATCTTATAAGTGGACACGTGGGGAATTAGAGTTTGTAGTTGTGTTAGTTTGTGCTTTATTCTTTATTTGAAAATTTCGTAATTTTGTAATTTTGTAATTAGAAAGTTTCTAAATTTTAGGGATTATAAATATAATGCTTTTTCGTGTTGATTTCTATTTAAGTATTCAAATTATTAATGGATGGACTTTAATGGGTAGTTTGATTGTGACTTAAATATATATATAATCCTAGTGATTGTGACTTGATTGTGATTTTTACTTCATGAGTTGTTGTTGTAGGTTGGAATTTATAAGCTTCACTTTGAGCTTATTGTGGTCGGTATTGGTTCTTAGCGTTCGTTGTAACTTGTGCTAAAGGTATGTTGTGAGTTAATTTTTAAGCTGTTTGATTTTGACTTAGTTTTTTTGCTTGTGAACGTGCTTATGAACTATTTTAGTTTGAAGCATATTGGTTTGATTGTGAACTTTTTAATTAAGTTGTGAGATGTTGAAATGTTGTTTGTTTGATTTAATTTATTGGCTTTGTAAATATTAAATATTGTTATTTATTTACTTTAAAGACTACCAAATGAATATAGGTTGATTAAGCTAAGTACTTAAATTAGTGGATGGTTGTGTCTATGATTGTTTTATTTATGTTTACATGTTGTTGGATGATTCTGCAGTTATGGTAGCCATTTAAAACATATGTTACGAATGAATCAGTAATGTTTATTTTTAAATGTCGTTCGATGATTCTGTTAAATTTGTAAAGTTGATTGGTGAGTGTGCGTGTTTTACTTGGTAAGAGCAATTTTTGGAAATTTGAAGTGTTGGGGAGGGGAGGGTGTTATATGTACATACTTAGAATGAAATGTTGGGGGGTGGGGGAGGAATTATAATACTTTGAATGAAAGTGTTGGGGAGGGGATGTTCTTATATTTTTTTCTTTTAGTTTGTGCGATATAAGATTTAATTTATTGACTTTGAATGAAAGTGTTTAGAGGAGGGATCCTCTTCTACTTTAATTTAAGTTTGTGAAATGTTTACTTAGTTTGAGTTCATGACATATGTACTGAGTTAGAATGAAAGTTTGTTAACTTTTAATGGATGTGGTGAGTTAACTTTTAATGTCTAGTTTGAGTTTGAGACATGCATCTGTAATGAGATTTTTTTATGACTTTTAAGTTAGTTTTGAGAAATATATAAAATATTTTGCTAATATATAAGTTTATTTGTTTTTTTTCAGGATCGTTCGATTCTCTATCAAAGATTTTGGAAATCAAATTTCATGAACAAACTTTATGAAGGATTGTGTAGAATATGTTTAAGTTGTTTAAGTTTGGGACTTTTTAGAGTAGGTTGTTAAATTTAATTTATATTATTTTTTTACTTTTGTAAAACAAATGTTTGTAATATCATGACTTTTTAAATGAAATTAAATTCGTTGTTGGTGATACTTGTTATTGAGAAAGTAATAAATACAGGAAAAAAAAAAGACAAAAAAAGACAAAAAAGAGAAAAAACAGGACGAAATCACCACCTTCGACAAAGTTTTCGTCGCCGAAGGATCACCCGGCGACGAAATCAATTTTCGTTGCCGAAGGTGGACCCGACGACGAAATAAATTTTCGTCCCCTTAGATGTTTTCGACGACGAAAGCAAAATTTCGTCGCCAGAACCTTCTGACGACAGCTTCGACGACGAAATTTCAGGATTTGTCGCCGAAACCTGAAATTCTTGTAGTGCTTACCCTAGCTCTTCCAAGTTTAGGGGAGTTAGAACTCATCCAAAAAATTGTGTGCACACAAAATCCGTCCTAAAAAGTAAACAAATTAAATACGAATAGAGGAAGAAATGGAATGAAAAGAATATCAATGGCTTAAATAAGGTATCTTGAAGGAATAAGTTGCTGAAAATGGAAAGATTAAAAACTAAGGAAATGCTGGAATTACAAGCAAACAAGGAAACTGTAAATGAACTAACTAAAAAGAAGCAACTAAGACAATGACGAACAAAGCTAAAATCAATATAAAAGTTGATACTTCTGACCGAGAATTTCAAGAGATTCCATATATTTTGGTGTTACTTGAATATAAAGTATGTTTTTTTTAATAATATAATAGGGGAGGTGGGAGATCGGACTCACAATTACGTTCTTGATTGGAGATATATGTCAATTACGTTGAGCTATGCTCGTTTTGGTTTAAAGTATGATTTCTAGATTATGCATCAACTCAAATCACAACATTTAATAGCATTTGAAAACTTAATAGAGTGTAAAATAACATGGATTAACCTCTTTTTTTTATCCTTGAAAGGTTAATCAGTGGGCTATGTGGCTTTTTTTTTCTTTTTGGTAGATTTTGACACCTTGACACCATCTAGTTTGGTTAGGATCAAGTAGGTGATGATATGATCATAATTGGCTCCAAATCCTTAAAACAAAGTTAAGCCAAGAGGAGAGCATGACCGCACGCAAAACCGCAACAAAATACCCAAAGTGCACATGTATAGACCCTCACCATCGCGCTAACCTCACAAGAGATCACCCTGTGCGCGCCCCACGCTAGCATGTTCAGCATCTCGTGCATGCATGCCAACGACCTTTGCACGCACGCCTCCGCCAAGCCACACGCATGCAACATCGCCCTTCGCACCCCAGCCACACGCATCACCAGCACGACACATGCCAGTGTCAAAACCACATTACTGAACAAAAATTTTTGCAACCCTTTAATGATATCAGAGCTTCTGTACATAAAAGAAATTGATTTTTTTATCTCCTCTCTTAACACTCATGGTCAATACTGAAACATCCCTCGCCATTCAGATTTTTCACCAATGCTCTAGCTGATCTCTATCAAGTTGAACTTCTCCCATTACTTGCTATGGAAATCACAAATTGTACCCTTCATCAGAAGCATGAACGTCACTTGCTTGAAGATAGTGCTCCAAAACAAGAACTCATAGATAAGGAGGGAAAAGTGACTTTCAATCCTTAGTTCAATATATGAGAGAACAATAATGGGCTGTTGACTTCATGACTTTTCGGAATAATTACAGTAGAGACGTTCTTTCTATGATGGAAGCAAATGATAGTGTCTATCAAGTTTGGAAATCACTTGAAGAACAAGCCCTAACTATGACCAATGAGAATGAAATCCAACTAAATAAGAGGGGCTGAGGAAACCTAGAGAATCAAATAAGGCAGATAATTGGAGAAAAAAATTGCGAAATCACAGAGCCACTGAAGCTAAAGACCAAACCCAACAAAATAAAAGAGCATAGCACAAAGGACGCAGCTTTGACCAGAGAAAAGCATAATATGCTCAATTGCATTAATGGAGTTTAAACCACATTTGTTGAATAATAATAAAATAAAAACGAAGGCTCGAAAACTTTGCCATTTTCTCGATCTACAATAAATAAATATCATGAGTAATTGGTGATTAACAACCTAACATAAAAGAATAGATTTGAAAATTGAATTAGTAAGATGATGACTGATGTAGTTGAGTGTATAAACCACATCGGAAATATTACAGCTCTGTCACTTTTATATTAGTTCAGTCTGTCAAGACCATTGATACCACCCACTGGTTGAGTAGTGTGTAAACTTTGGTCCTTTTCTCACGGAATAGAGGCTCCCTTGTTTGGCTTCATCAAGATTTGTAGGCTTATCCCTCTTTTTATAGAGTTTGAATCCGCTTCTGGATTCATTTCACTGTTTTCTGGAATTCAGGGTCGAGAATAGAGGCTCCCTTGTTTGGCTTCATCAAGATTTGTAGGCTTATCCCTCTTACGCTTCTTCATAGCTAAATATGTAACCCTTATTATCCAACAAATGTTATTGTTTATGGTAATCCGATTATTTATTGCTTAAAAAATAAATAATAACAACCTAGCTAATAAATGCAGATCTACATTAAAAACAAAATTAAAAATAGATCTAAATTCAATTTACATACGTTATATGAAATTAACCATCTTTATTCTTTCTCTCCAAAAATGGAATAAAGCATGAAATCATTTAAGAAAATAGATCTTATTCATGGAAGAAGTTAATGCAATGTATAGTATTTAAACCTCCTCAAACCACTATTTTCTGCAATTCACTTCACCAAATCATTCTTAATTTCTTCAACTAAAACATGGCAAAGCTTCCTTCTTCCTATGCTGCCTTCATTGTTCTTATTCTCGCAGGTCTCTTCTTCTTCTCTTTATTTAAATTATTATTCCAGTGCATATGGTTCTATGCTTGATTTGATTTGGGATTTTATGATTTTAAAAAATTAACAATTTGAAACTTTTGATTCGGGTTAAGTATCTCAAAACGTACGTCTTTAGATCGACGAATTGTTACAATTTTCTTATGTAATATGTTTTATTTAGACGAATGTTAACTCATCAACTCTTTCTACCATGTCTAAAGAAACCGTATCAATACTTGGCGGTTTGGTTTTGGCAAATATGATATAGCTGATTGATAGACCTTGCTTAATTGTTTTGAATTTTTGTTGTGTTTTGTAGCTGCGTTGATTTTGGTGCCCAAAGGAGTGTCAGCTGTCCAAAGATGTCAAGAAAAGTTGAGTGACAGTGGATGCATACTCGATGATTGTGGGAAGAAATGTTGGGAGAAGCACCACACTATCTCACATCAGTGCATTCCTACTAATGTTCAGCAGACCATTTATGCTTGTTTCTGTTTCTTTGATTGTCCTCAAAATTGATATTTTGAGATATCCTCTCTTTAAGCAATGTATCTCACACATTATAATAATACTTACAAATAAAAATTATGAAGTTCATTAATCCTTGTGATCATTGGTCAATCGAATTAATATTACACGCCTTGTTCTGCATCAATCATATAACGAATTAACTTGGGATCAGGGTCAGGATGTTTTTTCATAATCCAATGTCTAAAATTCGAGTTAGAAAATTTAGGACTTGTTTGGTAACATGGTAACTTATCACATTTCTCATTCTAACTTTTTAGAATCGTTTCCAAAAGAATGACTAAATTTTGGAAGCTATAAAAATTAGTTTTTATGTGTCCATTTTGATCCTCAGCCTAGCTTGTTAGATCCTTGGTTCCAATTTGATTTGTCGCTTTTTTTCCTTATATTTTCTATTTTTTAATAATTCTTTTTGTATAATTATTTTTTATATTTTCTACTTTTTTTTTGTAATTATTGTTTAATATTTACTAGTTTTTAATAAAATATTTTCTATTTTTTAAATAAACAATATTCTGTAAAATTTATTCTGTATTTTAAAGCTGATAATTTTGACTTTTATATTAAAGAAATTTATATAATTATATTTTCTTTAATAATTTATGTTCTTTTGAAGGTATGTTATATTATGTCTAGCTACTAAATTATATTTTAACTAAAAAAATAAATATAGTCAATATGAGCGTAACTCACGAAAGGGTCGTGAGTTCGAATTTTCACCTTATGTTGTACTAAAACAAACTAAAAATAAATATAAGCAAACTTTAGTTATGACATATATCTTTGATCAAGAAGTACTAAGTTTCAATACCCACCTTTATATGTTGTTATACTTCAAAAATTAAAAACTAAAATTAAAAACAATAAACAGTAAATAGTTATCAAACATATTTTTTTCTATTCTTTTTTTTCCAATAAACAATAAACAGAAATGGTGTCTCTAAAGAATAGTTTGGGTGATTTGGGGCTTCAAGGAATATCCTTGAGGTCTTGGATTAAGCCACAAGGAACACACAATGACTCCTTGCATATGTACGTGTATGTGGACAATTCGCATCCTGGGTAATCAAAAGAAAAAAAAACAGAAATGATACCAAAATAATTATGTTTTTATTTCTAAAAAAAATTAGAACAAGAATTAGGAAAAAAAAAAAACGGAAAACAGGTAACAAAAAACTAAAACGTTACCAAACAATCTCTTAGGATCAATTTATTAAGGTTCCCATTTTTTGTTTCTTGTATTTATCATTCTCTAAGTTTTAGAAACAAAAGCATTGGTAAATATTTTTCTTCTTATTTCTCGTTTTTACAAAATATTTTCAAAATTGCTGGTTTCTTTTTCCAATTTTTAAAATTTTTCCAAAACATAAATAAAATCATTATTTCATCGTATTGACTTATAAAATTCATAATAAATATTAAAAGTAAATATAACATAAAAAATTTTGGATATTTATTTTAAAAAAATCAATTTGATATAAAAATTTTTTTAATTTAAAACTTAATATTACAAGAAATAATAAATTATTAGCAAACATGTTTATGTTTTTTTTTTCAATAATAAAACAACAATAACAATAAAAATAAACATACCAATAATAAAGAAAACGAATGAGAAAATAAGAAATTGTTGGAATTTTTGAATAAAATTACTTTTGTTAAAAATGAATAATCACAACTTTTCATGAACTGGTGCGACTTTTGTAGAGGCTATA